CGATACGGTTCAATAAAAAGTAAAGTCTAAATCGTGTCTGTGATTCTAAAAGTCTTTGTTAAACCACTTCTTGTGCAAAGTTCATATGAAACACAAACATTTTAATCATCAAAACCGTAAAAATGTCAAATGTGTCGCATAAATGAGTTTCCTTTCACTCCACAAACAACAAAAATGTAGCTGTAACAAAATAATTTAGTAAAACACACCTAAAAATACTCTTGGTGATATATCGTTACAGCCGCCCACGATATCGATACTGTGTCTTCACATTAAATGACACGACATATCGATATTCCGATATTTTTGCACACCCCTAGTACGCTCGGTGCAAAAAAAAAAAACGAGAACACCACTGCCAACTCAAACACAACGGACTCCAGGCAACTCCAAAACAGTAGAAAAAGTGAACACATCGCACGAGGAAAAATAGAGTTAAAAGGTTTGTATTTAAATGACCAAGGCCGACATGTTTGGACCTTAACTGGTCTTCATCAGGGTTTAATTAAAACAGAGCCTGGGCGTGGCCTTCAAGTAGAACACATCAACCAATAACAGGCTGGAGTCGATTGGAGGCAAACAAAACAGGTGCACAGGAACAGGACATGGTACAGGCAAAAAAACAAAACAAAAAAACACAAACACACATCATTACCATTAATGTTTCCATTATTATTGTTACCAATAATGTATTAATATTTATAATTTGTATCATAATTTTTTTTAAATTATGAATTTTTTATTTTATTTTTTTGCCTGTACCATGTCCTGTGCACCTGTTTTGTTTGCCTCCAGTTGACTCCAGTCTGTTATTGGTTGATGTGTTCTACTTGAAGGCCACGCCCAGGCTCTGTTTTAATTAAACCCTGATGAAGACCAGTTAAGGTCCAAACATGTCGGCCTTGGTCATTTAAATACAAACCTTTTAACTCTATTTTTCCTCGTGCGATGTGTTCACTTTTTCTACTGTTTTGGAGTTGCCTGGAGTCCGTTGTGTTTGAGTTTTGATCCTTTTTTCCAAGAGCAACCTCTACTTGCTCCTACTGATTGGAACACCTGCAGCAAACACACACATTTTTGTTCTTTCACCACTGCCAACTACTGTAGTGGATGTGCAACTACACTTTATTCTAGTACGGCAAAAAAAAAAAAAAAAAAAGCGATGTGGTGTGATGCCCTCCACCCGACATCAGGGATTATTTGAGAAGAACTGATGTAAACTGAACTGTTCGTGATTATAAAAGTCTTAAAGTGTGACTGTTGCTCACGTTTGGTCGTAGACGTGTTTTAAACCATATAAACTGTTTGTGTTTATAAAAGTGTGATTGTTGTTCCTCACGTTTGGTCGTAGACGGGGTTGAGCGTCCTCTTGAACGTGCTGGTTTTCCTTCGTCCGGAGCGGCGTTTGTCGGGGAGCAGATACAGACGCACGTACGGGTCTGAGCCGTGATCCGTGAACGCGATCAGGTTTCTGAAAACACAAATACAACTTTAGAGTCAGTCTTTGTTTTCACTCTTTTCTCTTTTTAATATTTTCATTTGCACAGACGTGTGTTTTCCTCCAGGAGGCGCCACAGCGTCAGGTTCTCCTCATTATTTTTACTTCCAGATTAAACCTTCATTTATAAATGTTTATTTGTGGATTGTGTTTGTTACAGTGGAGATGAAAAACTTTCTCCTGCTCCACCTCAGAAGTACAGGTAGTACTTGTAGTAATAGTAGTACTACTATAGTATTAGTTTTTGTAGTGTTACGTGCAGCTGTGTACAACCACAATGAGTCTGTTCCATTTTAGTAGCAGTAGTAGTAGTAGTAGTATATGTAGAAGTAGTAGTAGTGTGTGTAGTTGTAGTAGTAGTAGTGTAGTAGTTGTAGTAGTAGTAGTAGTAGTAGTAGTAGTGTAGTCAGTAGTAGTAGTAGTAGTAGTCGTAGTAGTAAGTAGTAGTAAGTAGTAGTAGTAGTAGTAGTAGTAAGTAAGTGTAGTAGTAGTAGTAGTAGTAGTAGTAGTAGTAGTAGTAGTAGTAGTAGTAGTAGTAGTAGTAGTGTAGTAGTAGTAGTAGTAGTTAGTAGTAGTAGTAGTAGTAGTAGTAGTGTAGTAGTAGTAGTAGTAGTAGTAGTAGTAGTAGTTGTAGTAGTAGTAGTAGTAGTAGTAGTTGTAGTAGTAGTAGTAGTAGTAGTAGTAGTAGTGTAGTAGTAGTAGTAGTAGTAGTAGTAGTAGTAGTAGTAGTAGTAGTAGTAGTAGTAGTAGTAGTAGTAGTAGTAGTGTAGTAGTAGTAGTAGTAGTAGTTAGTAGTAGTAGTAAGTAGTAGTAGTGTAGTAGTAGTAGTAGTAGTAGTAGTAGTAGTAGTAGTAGTAGTAGTAGTAGTGTAGTAGTGTAGTAGTAGTGTAGTAGTAGTAGTAGTAGTAGTAGTAGTAGTAGTAGTAGTAGTAGTAGTAGTAGTAGTAGTAGTAGTAGTGTGTTAGTAGTAGTAGTAGTAGTAGTAGTAGTAGTAGTAGTAGTAGTAGTAGTAGTAGTAGTAGTAGTAGTAGTAGTAGTAGTAGTAGTAGTAGTAGTAGTAGTAGTAGTAGTTAGTAGTAGTAGTAGTAGTAGTAGTTAGTAGTAGTAGTAGTAGTAGTAGTAGTAGTAGTAGTAGTAAGTAGTAGTAGTAGTAGTAGTAGTAGTAGTAGTAGTAGTAGTAGTAGTAGTAGTAGTAGTAAGTAGTAGTAGTATAGTAGTTAGTAGTAGTAGTAGTAGTAGTAGTATAGTAGTAGTTAGTAGTAGTAGTAGTAGTAGTAGTAGTAGTAGTGTAGTAGTAGTTAGTAGTAGTAGTAGTTGTAGTAAGTAGTAGTAGTAGTAGTAGTAGTAGTAGTAGTAGTAGTAGTAGTAGTAGTAGTAGTAGTAGTAGTAGTAGTAGTAGTAGTAGTAGTAGTAGTAGTAGTAGTAGTAGTAGTAGTAGTAGTAGTAAGTAGTAGTAGTAGTAGTAGTATAGTAGTAGTAGTAGTATAGTAGTAGTAGTAGTAGTAGTAGTAGTAAGTAGTAGTAGTAGTAGTAGTAGTAGTAGTAGTAGTAGTAGTATAGTAGTAGTAGTAGTGTAGTAGTAGTAGTAGTAGTAGTAGTAGTAGTAGTAGTAGTAGTAGTAGTAGTAGTATAGTAGTAGTAGTAGTAAGTATAGTAGTAGTAGTAGTAGTAGTAGTAGTAGTGTAGTAGTTAGTATATGTAGTAGTAGTAGCAGTAGCAGTAGTAGTAATATAGTAGTATAGTAGTATAGTAGTAGTTAGTAGTATAGTAGTAGTAGTAGTAGTAGTAGTATTAGTAGTAGTATTAAGTATTAGTAGCAGTATATGTAGTATAAGTATTAGTAGCAGTATGTAGTATAGTAGTAGTATATGTAGTATAAGTATTAGTAGCAGTATATGTAGTATAAGTATTAGTAGCAGTATATGTAGTATAAGTATTAGTAGTAGTATATGTAGTATAAGTATTAGTAGCAGTATATGTAGTATAAGTATTAGTAGTAGTATATGTAGTATAAGTATTAGTAGTAGTATATGTAGTATAAGTATTAGTATAGTAGTAGTATATGTATAGTATATAGTATATATGTAGTATAAGTATATGTAGTATAAGTATTAGTAGCAGTATATGTAGTATAAGTAGTATAGTAGTAGCAGTATATGTAGTATAGTAAGTATAGTAGTAGTAGTATATAGTAGTATAAGTATTAGTAGCAGTATATGTAGTATAAGTATTAGTAGCAGTATATGTAGTATAAGTATTAGTAGTAGTATATGTAGTATAAGTATTAGTAGTAGTATATGTAGTATAAGTATTATTATTACCTGCAGCTGTGTACGACCACGATGAGTCTGTTCCTCTGGGAGCTCAGTCTGATGGTGAGTTGGATCTCACCCCAGAGGAACATGTTCAGAGCCACTGGAGACAGGGACAGACAGGGACAGACAGGGACAGACAGGGACAGGACAGGGACAGACAGGGACAGACAGGGACAGACAGGGACAGGGACAGCAGGGACAGACAGGGACAGACAGGGACAGACAGGGACAGGGACAGACAGGGACAGGGGACAGGGGACAGACAGGGACAGACAGGGACAGACAGGGACAGACAGACAGGGACAGGCAGGGACAGACAGGGACAGACAGGGACAGACAGGGACAGACAGGGACAGGGGACACAGGGACACAGGGACAGACAGGGACAGGCAGGGACAGGGGACAGGACAGGGACAGGACAGGGACAGGACAGGGGACAGGACAGGGACAGGACAGGGACAGGACAGGGACAGACAGGGACAGGACAGGACAGGGTCAGGGACAGGACAGGGACAGGACAGGGTCAGGTCAGACAGGGACAGGTCAGGGACAGGACAGGGACAGGACAGGGACAGGGACAGGGACAGGACAGGGACAGGGACAGACAGGACAGACAGGGGACAGGGACAGACAGGGACAGACAGGGGACAGCAGGGACAGACAGGGACAGGACAGGGACAGGCAGGGACAGGGACAGACAGGGACAGACAGGGACAGGCAGGGACAGACAGGGACAGGGACAGGGACAGACAGGGACAGGGGACAGGGACAGGACAGGGACAGATCAAGGACAGGGACAGGACAGGGACAGGACAGGGACAGACAGGGACAGGGACAGACAGGGACAGACAGGGACAGGCAGGGACAGACAGGGACAGACAGGGACAGACAGGGACAGACAGGGACAGACAGGGACAGACAGGGAGGGACAGACAGGGACAGGCAGGGACAGACAGACAGGACAGGGACAGACAGGACAGACAGGACAGGGACAGGACAGACAGGGACAGGACAGACAGGGACAGACAGGGACAGACAGGGACAGGACAGGGACAGGACAGGGACAGACAGGGGGACAGGGACAGGGACAGACAGGGACAGGACAGACAGGGACAGGACAGGGACAGACAGGGACAGGGACACAGGGACAGGACAGGGACAGACAGGGACAGACAGGGACAGGGACAGGACAGACAGACAGGGACAGGGACAGGGACAGACAGACAGGGACAGGCAGGGACAGGGACAGCAGGGACAGACAGGGACAGACAGACACAGGGACAGGCAGGGACAGGACAGGGACAGGGACAGGGACAGACAGGGACAGGGACAGGGACAGGACAGGGACAGACAGGGACAGGGACAGGCAGGGACACAGGACAGGGACAGACAGGGACAGACAGGGACAGACAGGGACAGACAGGGACAGACAGGGACAAGGTCAGAGAGGAGGACTTTATATAAACATGTTATATTTTATGTATATTTACTGTATACATGAGCGTCTTTTCAACATGTGTTTGTACAAATGAATAAAAACAAACGACTGAAGTGACTCTGTCCCACAGACTGAAAGTACAAATGGACGTGGCTAAACCGTCCTGTTTCAAACAGGAAGTGTTCATGGGGAGATTTCCGGCTCCATTTGAGTTTACAGTGAAAAATGAACTGGTCTCTGTGTATCTGCTGCTGTGTTTTATAGAATCTGTGTCTCTGTGGATGATTCTGTTTTCATCTGGACATTTACAAACATAAAATCTGTCGAAAAACAGGTTTAAAACATTAGTGCTGTTTCAACATGTTGTATTGTATTGTGTTATATTGTGTTGTGTTGTGTTGTGTTATATTATGTTGTTGTATTGTGTTATTTTGTGTTGTTGTGTTGTTGTATTGTGTTGTGTTGTATTGTGTTGTTGTGTTGTGTTGTATTGTGTTGTGTGTTGTGTTGTGTTGTATTGTTGTGTTGTATTGTGTTGTTGTGTTGTATTGTGTTGTGTTGTATTGTGTTGTGTTGTGTTATATTGTGTTGTTGTTGTGTTGTGTTGTGTTGTGTTGTATTTGTGTTGTGTGTTGTGTTTGTTGTGTTGTGTTGTATGTGTTGTGTATTTGTATTGTGTTGTGTTGTGTTGTATATTGTGTTGTTGTATTGTGTTGTTGTGTTGTGTGTTGTATTGTGTTGTGTTGTGTTGTGTTGTGTTGTGTTGTATTGTGTTGTGTTGTTGTGTTGTTGTAGTTGTTGTTGTGTTGTGTTGTGTTGTATTTGTGTTGTGTTGTGTTGTGTTGTTGTTGTGTTTGTTGTTGTATTGTGTTGTATTGTGTTGTGTTGTTGTGCGCTCACTTGTGCAGTTGTGCGAGCCTGTACTGCAGCTCCTGCGCGGCGTACGGGTTTGAAATGTCCGAGGCGATGGAGGGCGTCGGCTCTTTGGCTCCGGCGAGGTTCTGCTGAGACCCGGAGATGGTGAGGCTGGACTGGGTCAGGTTCTTCTTCTCCAGGCCCCCGTTCTGGAGGTTCTGGAGGCTCTGGAGGTTCTGGTTCTGGTTGGGGGCGGAGACGGAGGCGGAGCGCGGGACCCCGTAGTCGGAGGGAGCCTTCAGGCCGCTGTCGGAGGAGATGGAGGGGCGGGGCGTGGAGGCGGAGCTCTTACGCACCTGCACCGAGGAGGGGGCGGAGTCTGAGGAGGCGGAGACGTCTTTCTCCAAACACAAGATCTGACAAAACAAAAGTCTGTGAGTATCTGGAGCAGAGATCTACACACGCATCACGAATTTCAGACTTCCTTCCAGTGGGACGTGTCTAGTGTCAAAGTCGATCTTTTCAAGTCTTTTGAACCATATCACTTTTGTTTCTGGTTCTGATATTGTCATATTTTAGTTTTGGGATTCGGACATCGTTAATTGTGTGGTTGTTGTTTGTTCTAACAGCGGAAAACGACTCGAGAAATGTGTTTGTGAACTTCATAAATGCAAAAGTGAATCAGATGTGTGTGACTCAAACCTCCGTTCAAACTGTTTCTCTTCCCGACGGAATTGAAAAATAGTGAAAGGTGAAGGTGATGGGCAGGATTGATCCACAGGAAGAACGAGCGACGACAAAACTAAATCCCGTTTGTTAATGGAGAGGAGCAGAAGACAAACAGAAGTCCGTGTGTCGTTCGTTCATTCGTTTTTCAAAATAAAACCAAAAATAAGAAAAACGAAAAACCAACAGTTTTCTCCATTATTTGTCTCCAAAACCAAAATGAAAAAAACAGATAATGATTCGTTTTTTCAGTTTTCGATTTTGTGTTTAAATGAAGAATGGAAAAAAAACTGATAACGACCGTTTCCCGTTTATGTGACTTCCGTGACTGCGATGCCGAACTTTTGCGCTGCATACGGACTGAACCAGGACTGATCCAGGTCCGGGACCAGACCGGAAAAATCACAGCGACATCAGCAGCGGTGAAACGACGGAGACGCGCCCACGTAGACCGTCAGGTGACCACGGGCGAAAGAACCAACGCAGAACCAACTGACGCCTGATCGCGCTCGGGGTTCTCTCGGGCAGAACTAGATTCCAAGTTCTAGTCCAAGATTAGTCCTGGTTCAGTCCTTGGTTTAGTCCTGGTTTAGCCTTGGTTTAGTTCTAGTTTAGTCCTGGTTTAGACCTGGTTTCAGTTCTGGTTTTCTGGTTCAGCCCTGGTTTAGTCCTGGTTCAGTTCTGGTTCAGCTCTGGTTTTAGTTTCACCTGGTTCAGTTCTGGTTTAGTCCTGGTTCAGGGTTCTGGTTCAGCTCTGGTTTAGACCTGGTTCAGTTCTGGTTCAGTCCTGGTTTAGTCCTGGTTCAGTCCTGGTTTAGTCCTGGTTTAGTCCTGGTTTAGTCCTGGTTCAGCTCCTGGTTTTAGACCTGGTTCAGTTTTCTGGTTTAGTCCTGGTTTAGACCTGGTTCAGTCCTGGTTTCTGGTTCAGTCCTGGTTCAGTCCTGGTTTCGGTCCTGGTTCTGGTTTAGTCCTGGTTTAGTCCTGGTTTAGTCCTGGTTTCCTGGTTTAGTCCTGGTTTAGACCTGGTCTGGTTTAGTTCCTGGTTTTTAGATCTGGTTTCCAGTCCTGGTTTAGTCCTGGTTTAGTCCTGGTTTAGTCCTGGTTTAGTCCTGGTTTAGTCCTGGTTTCAGTCCTGGTTCAGTTCTGGTTTAGTCCATATACGGCGCAAAAGTTCAGCTTCTTAGTCCGGAATTTACAGCATTTTAATTTCAAAATATTAATTCAGAATTACAAAAAACCTCCTGTAAACGAGGTCAGTGTTCTAGTCTCTTCTGTTCTAGTCCAGACGGTTCTAAACACATTCAGGAAAAGTTCTGCTCGGTGGGACTTCTTTTTTTTAGCATCGATACCTGCGAGAAACGGAGGATCTAGTTCTAGTTTGTGGTCTTCTGTCCTACTCCTCGTTAAAAAGTGGGTCGTGAGCGTTTCTTTCGTGTTCGTGGAGCTCTTACCCTCAGGGCCATCTTCATCTTGAGGCTGCAGCTGGGCCCAGAGCTCCTCAGGCTGAAGCTCTTGTTCATGGTCATGTCTTTGGCCTCCTTCAGCTCCTGCAGAGGAACGGTGAGCGTGCCCAGGGAACACTCGTGCTTCTCGTCCTTCACCTGGACACGGCGAAAACAGCACGGGTCAAGCGAGACGTGTGTGTGTCAGATGCCCTCCCCGTGTGTGTGTCAGAAGCTGTTAACCCCGAAGTTTAGATCTCTGCAAACATTTTTTCTGAGATGCCGGGGGATTCCTGTCAGGAGGAACGTTGTGACTCTTGTTTTAAATGGTTAATCGCTACGGCAACGGTCCTAGTTCTTCATATTTCTGACACCCACACGTTAGTTGATTTTAATAAAAAAAACTTTAGTACATTTCTTAAAAAGTGTACCGTGTTGACTTTTCTGGCAGAGGGTCCGTCACTTCTGTCTGCTCGTTTCTATGGCGATGTCATTGCAGTGCTTGGAATGTTCCGCAGTGTGACATTAAACAGCTCTACTTTACATTTATTCGTTATTCGTGACCAGTTGAAGACTCATTTCACCAAAACACAGGATAAATATTTCTAATTTTTTTCTCCAGTTTGGCTTTTTTTTTTAGGGTTACTTTTTCAGTTCCTGGTTGGAAATCTTTTTTATTTATATATTTTTAATTTTATTTTTCTATTTTATTTATTAGATGTAAGTAAGTAAGTCTTTATTTATATAGCGCTTTCACAGACATTTTCTGTCCCCAAAGACGCTTTACAGCATTATTCATTCACTCTATACCCTGGTGATGGTAAACTACTACTGTAGCCACAGCTGCCCTGGGGCACACTGACAGAAGCGCGGAAGATGTATATATATTTTAAATGTTTCTATGTTATTTTATTATTTTTTATTATTATTTAAATTTTATTTTTCTATGTTATTTATTGAATTTATATAATTTTTTAGATTTTTCTATTTTATTTTTTATTGAGTTTTTTGTATTATATTTAATTTAATTTTTCTATGTTATTTATTGAATTTATCTATTTTTTAGATTTTTCTATTTTATGTTTATTTATTTATTTTCTTTAAAAATTTAATTTATTATTATTATTATTGTTGATATTATTATTATTGTTATTATTTTTTTTTAATTGATTTACCTGGTAAAATATTGATTAAATAAATAAATAAAATATTAAATTCCAGGTGATTTACCTACAAAAACAGACATTGTGACTGTGAGCGGGGTCGCCTCTCCACAGACATGACCTGTAACTTGGTCTGGTTTTGTCTCCATGAATATAGAAAAGTTTAATGCCACACTGCGAAACATTCCAGACAAAGCAATAACATCTCCATGGAGAAAACTGACATGACGGACGTACGTGCGGCGACGTTTCTTTTACTAAAAACTAAAACTTTTCTGTGACGTTCTGTGGTTAATCTGAACTTTGAAATCACAATCTCTGCACTTGTGTTTTTGTTTGAAACGTGTGAAGGGAAAGTGTGAAGAGTCCAAGAGACCTCGACGTCCAGCTGCTGCGTTATTGGATTGTGGACGAGGAAAGTGAAGGCCTCCTCCCACACGGGCTCGTTGGTTTTGTAACGCGTCTGAAACCAAACACACGTCAGTCACAACAGTTTGATATTTAAATGAAACACGTGGACAGGTCAGGGCTCAGGCTCGTCTCACCTTACTCTCAAAACTCCTGTGTCCCACCGTGAACTGCACGAACGGACTCGGGTCGGACGTCACCTTCTTTCCCGTCTGAAGAAGAGCAAACGTTTGGATTTTTATAAACAACCAAAACAACGACGACACGTGAAACCAAACGCTGGCTTTGGAGGATCAGATCGTGCACGTGTGTCACAATAAAACAACACTTCCTCTGCCTAGAATAACTCTGTGTTTTAGATCATTCCAGATTATCGATCCGCAAATAAACGTACTTACTTCATTTAAGTAAAGACGCCTGAAGGAAGTGGACACGACAGATTTAATGTCCAGAAATTAGAAATGAAAAACCGAAATTTGAACACAGAAATCAAGAAAAAACTACGACTAAACTAAACTAAACTAAACTATTTACAACAAAACAAAACAAAACAGAAGTGCACATGTAAAACCCGTGAGTGTGAACAGTGTAAGATTCTTGAGTGTGAACAGTGTAAATTAAGGGTGACCAGTCGTCTCTATTCACCCGGGACAGTTCCAGTTTTGCGCCTGTGTTCCCTGTCCAAGCAGATTTATCCCAGTTTTATACAAGAAATGTCCCAGGTGTCTCTATTTTTGACCAATCTGATCCTGTCGACAGTAAAGACAGACAGAAAATGAGATTAGATTAAGTAAAATTGAGAAAATCTGCTTAAAAATGACCAAAACACAAAGAAAATGTGACACATGTTAGTCATGAATGGGACGAGTGCAGAACTGTTTTTGTTAATTACAAACTCGTTTCAGAATCTTATTATTAAAACCACAGCAGCGTTCAAGTTTTTGATTCTAAAAATCTGGTCACCCTAGAGACAGTGTGTGTGAACAGTGACAGTGTGTGTGTGACAGTGTGTGTGTGAACAGTGACAGTGTGTGTGTGAACAGTGACAGTGTGTGTGTGAACAGTGACAGTGTGTGTGTGAACAGTGACAGTGTGTGTGTGAACAGTGACAGTGTGTGTGTGAACAGTGACAGTGTGTGTGTGACAGTGTGTGTGTGAACAGTGACAGTGTGTGTGTGTGTGAACAGTGACAGTGTGTAAGTGTGAGTTGTAGTTGTGTTCTCCTGGTTCTTTCTGTGGGACGTTTGTTCTGCCTGTGACATCTGTGTGTGTTTGGGTTTTTACCACAGACTCTATAAAGAATATAAACATATAAACATGGACGTTCCAAACAGGAAGTTCACATGTGGCTCTTCCGGCTCCTTCTGACTCTGGCTCCAATTCAGTTTACACTGGAATATTATTAATAATATTAGTAGCTGCTGCTGTGGCCTCTGCATTTTGGTCCTGAAGTGTTCATATTTACCCGCTCTACATGATCCTGGACATTTTATTTGGCTATACAATCGGTTAAATAAATTCCTATTCGTAATATGGAGCCTGGCTCCAAATTCACCCCTGTAAGCCCAGCATCAGTGAGCTTCATTTGACTGGAGCTGAACTTTATGGGTGACGTCACTCTCACTTAAGGTCAATTTACGGTTCAGCGTCAAATCATCTGCGTCACGACACAGAGAGTCTGCGTGGACGTGTACCCCCTACGCAGAGCCTCTGCGTCGACCGACGTGCACCTCCCAAATTTTCTAACTACGCGTTGAAACGCCGCAGACAACAGGGGAAGCGACGCAGACGATAAGAGCTGTGATTGGTCGTCCGTACCACCGCACTACAGACACTTCCTGTACTCGTCTTATACATATACATCGAAAAATTATAATAATGTTCACTGAGAAATAATGTGTTTAATGCAGCTTTGCACATCTGTGTTTACATTTTACAGAAACGACACTTAAAACCGCATGGCTAATTTGCATAAATCAAGCGCTCATAAAACATATCGCTCCTTGTGCCCTGACGCGGTTCAGCTTCTGTCAGACTCTAAAAGGACACGGCTCAGTGGAATATGAGTGTCTTTCTGTGACACAGGGATATTGTACTAATGCTGAGTTTGTTCTGTGCTTTTATCGTGTCGGAGATGGAACTTTTCAGAGATTATACGTCTGCGGGTCACACACACAGACCGTATATATGAATGGACAGATATCGTCGCCCCCTAGTGTTTTGGCAGTGAATCACTTCGTGGTGCACAGACCTCGACGCAGATCCATAAATCAAAAACGGCGGTGACAAGGCGACGGCGGCGGTGCGCGTTGAGTCGACGCAGAACTATACTTCAGCCTTGAGTCCACGTCTTTATACAGTCTGCGGGTTTTACCTGTGGGCTTCATCAAAACAGCAAAGCATCATGGTCCATGTAGTCCCTCTGTGTCTGACTGATGTGAGTGACTGATGTGAGTGACTGATGTGAGTGACTGATGTGAGTGATGTCACAGGCAGAATCCAAACAAACTCCAACATGTGACTAATGTGTGACATGTACAACACACACTGTACACACACACATATACACTGTACACACACACACACACACATATACACACACTGTACACACAAACACACACACACACACATATACACACATATATATACACACATATAACAGAGTGAGTGTGTGAATAAGTCTCCTGTGGTGAAAGTGTGACGGCCTCTCCAGACCAAAGCGATTCTTTATTTGCTGATTTATTCAATATTATGATGTTTTCGTGTTGATATTTGTTGATGTTTTGATACGGACCATCATGCACTGCTCTGATTGGCTAAAGCGCCTGTCAATCACGCCCCTCTGAGCCCAAACCTGGCTCCGTCATCTTCACATGTGTGTAAATTTCAGAAGCAGTGATCGTCAGAGTCTGTCACTGTCACCTGTCTGTCCAGGTGTGCCGCGTGTGGGGGAGGAGCTCGGTGATGTCAGCGTGAGGAGGCGTGGCGAGGGGGCGGAGTCAGTGTGGATTTGGTCTGGAGAGGTCTTTGGCGTTAGCGTGTGTTAGCGTTAGCATGCCGTTACCTTGAGGACCTTACTGACTGTGGCCGTCTTCAGAGGAGTCCAGGTGAGACAGGTGAGACAGGTGCGACAGGTGAAACACGCAGGTTAATACACCAGAGACAGGGACACAGAGAGGGTCCAGTTTATGTCGTATTCACACAAGTGCAAGAGAAACTCAGACGAGAAGGACTTTATCTTTATCTGAGACGACAGCAGCTTTAAGGTGCACGTGACACGCTTTAAAGTGCACGTGACCAGCTTTAAAGTGCACGTGAACTGCTTTAAAGTGCACGTGACCATCTTTAAAGTGCACGTGACCCGCTTTAAAGTGCACGTGACCCGCTTTAAAGTGCATGTGACCACTTTAAAGTGCATGTGACCTCTTTAAAGTGCATGTGAACCACTTTAAAGTGCATGTGACCCACTTTAAAGTGCACGTGACGGCTTTAAAGTGCACGTGACAACTTTAAAGTGCACGTGACCCGCGTGACCGCTTTAAAGTGCACGTGACCAGCTTTAAAGTGCACGTGACCACTTTAAAGTGCACGTGACCGCTTTAAAGTGCACGTGACCACTTTAAAGTGCACGTGACAACTTTAAAGTGCACGTGACCCGCTTTAAAGTGCACGTGACAAGCTTTAAAGTGCACGTGACCCGCTTCTCACTCAAATCACTAAATCAGACTAAAAATTTCACTTTTTTTCTCCAGTTTGGCATTTTTTAGGTTTACATTTTTATTTCCCGGTTGAAAATCATGACATCACACTAGGGAATTCTTTTTATTAATTGTTACAAAGCAATTAATACATAAAACTGTGGGCCAAAACTCCTCTAACAACAAATTACAATAGAAGAAAACACCTTTATCTTGTTGAAATTATGTTTAAAATTGTAAAACGTGCCGAACATTTGGACAGAATTCCCCCGTTGTGATGTCATCAGTGTCTCATTTTCAACAGATTTTCCAACTTTTCTTCACAAACTGGTTCTTGATTTGTGTTTTCCCACCAAACTCAGAGTCAAATTGATAGAATAATTAAAGCCTGTCGTCAGCACTTGAACTTTCACTTGATCTTGAATTGTTCTCGTGAATAAAGTGACTCTTGCTCTTGCAGATGTGTGGTGTTAACATCAAATAAACCAAACCCTCCACAAAGAAGAGAATGACCCAGACCAGAGACTCCCAGCACCAGACAGACGTGATCGGGTTAGTGACAGTCACATCAGGAGAGACGGGTCTTAAAGGGACGGGGACTACGGCTCATGCGGCACGAGACGTTATGTCCCTTTAAGACGAGCGACAGACGAAGATGACCCGGTGTTAAATAAATGATGAGTTTAAAGTGCAGACGCTTTGAGTGGATGATGAGACACTTAAACACACAGACTTTGTTTTTCTAAAAATGGCAGATACTTTATGATTATTTATACACGTAAAAACACAAGAAAAGACGAACTGAACCAACCACAGAACGTACAACTGTGGTCTTCAAACTTTTTCTACTCGTGCTCCCACTGAGACGCACTTTAAGATCATGTCTGTTGACTCTGAACAGATTAAATTATATAACAGTTGGAATATTTGTACTGCATTAGTTTGGTCCATCAAAACACGGTCAAAAATAAAGTTTCAGATCATCTCGATTAGAACCTGCATTAGGTTTGATCATCCAAAAGATGATTGAGGAAGAAATTTGGAAGAAAAGGGAGATGTTTTGGAGCAGACATGTCAAACTCAGGCCATATATTATTATATTTGGCCCATGAGGTCATCAAACAAGTATTAGAGCTGCCCACCGCACACAGACTATATATGAACCCGGTCAAGCAGAAGTAAACAACAAGGTCAAAAATTCAAGTTAATTCATCTGATATAAAAATGTATTGAACAGATACATATGTGCTCTAGTTTATCAAACTGTTGACCTTTTTTCTGTTCCATTTTTGGTTCTAAAGTTCCATATGTTTTAAACAGACCATGTATGAAACATGGAACAAAAATTATTTCCCAAATTTCAAAGACCTGAAAATCATGTAAATAAATGGATGTATTTCATCATATCTTGTGTTATTCCATCTTTGAACTGTTGATGAAGGGACAGGATTTTTTTTAAAAAAGTATTTAAAATGATAAAAATGTTCTTGGAAGGACTGACATATTTTATAGAAATAGTTTCCTTTCATTTTGAAGTAATATTAAAGTATTCAGAAGAAAAAAGCGACAAATGATGTAAAATCCTGCACCTTCTACTTGTTTGTACAATTTTCCCTCCGTTACTTTTCCCTCCGTTACCATGACTTTCTTAATAAAAAATCTCATGAGTCAAAAAGTCAGAGGTTTTTCAACCTAATCTTGTACCATATGGTAGAAAACTATATGAAGCAAATATTCAAACCAGTTTGTTAAGGATATGTAAGTGAGAACCAAGAGTTATCACTGTTTGGATTTATTGACCAAAAAGTGCTGCATATTTCATTCCCTCCGTTACCGACATGAGTTTTTAAATTTTTTGTCTTGAACTTGAAAGAATCTCACAGGTTTAACTTGACCCTGTTGGAGTGTAACTCTTTCCTACATTCTGATACTTTACTTATTTCAATAGTTCCTCTAGTTTCTGAATAAGAGACATTTGAATGTCAAAAATCTGACCCTGTTTCCCTCCGTTTCTGCTTGACCGGACACATATACAGACTATAGCAGGACTCTCCAAACTGAAGCTCAGGAGCGAGTAAAGAAGCTCGTCAAAGTATTTCTGAATTATCTCACTGTGCTGAATAACAAAACTGTGGTTAATCACACGTATTGTACATGTGTCATTTTGAAGCCCGACCTTTGTGCTCTAATAAATGGACAATAGTTTGTTTTACAGGCGTCAAACTGAACCCAAAGGCTCGTCCTCTTTCTTTTAATCGTCTCAATTTCTGGCAATTGCTAAAATGAGAAGCCCAGTTTTTAATTTTGGCCTCTGTGAGTTTGAGTTTGACTCTCCTGGTTTAGAGGTCGCTCAGGCTTCATGAAGTTTCCTGGAAATGGACTCATTTTGTGTTTTCAGCGTTTGCCGAGCCGACCTCCTGAGAGAAACAGCGACACAGTCAAGGTCGAAGGTTTGTGCTTCATCGGACAAGAAACGTATGAAGTAAAGCAAATATCAAGTTAAAACATTTTGAGGAGTTCCCCGGAGCAGACGGGGCTGATGATGAGACTTTCAGACGGTGATAAAACTGTGTTCAGGAAAGTGTCCGTGATGTTACTGAAACGAGCTGAAGCTTATTCAAGATTTGAACTCTAGCCGAACAAAAGAATGAAACTCAGAGACAGGAGTCACAGGCACAGACACATTTTTAGTGACTCTAAGTTAGTTAAGTAGTGACTCAACTTTTATGGATGTTCTAAGTCATTTTTATGCAAGTTTCAGTTTGTGTTTGCAGAATAAAATGACAAATTATTGGAATAATCCTGATTTATTTAGTTCTCTGTTAGAGTTTAGGCTGTAGGGACATTTTCAAAAGTCTGGAGCAAACTCTAAATATGAAATAATTCACATCAAATTTGTACCCAAATATGTTGGTGAGATATGGAACCAAATGCAGAGTTCTAATTTAGAGAATCTACAAAGATAAAAACGTTTGGACCCTGATGTGCGTCACTGTTAAAGATTTGGGCCTGAGAAACTCTAACCATCCAGCAGAGGGCGATGTTTCCTCTAACCCGACCTGCTGCGTAAATACACATGAAGATTACACAAAGATTTTTTATTTTTTTAATATTTCAGAGCAAAGAGGTGAAAAAGGAGCTGCACTGCTCTGATTTTATCTGCACTAAAACAGAGTCATGGGTGAGTTTGTAATAAATTAAAATGAAATAATTTGGGGGAAATGACCAAAACTGGTCCTTTACATCTGTCATCAGTTTCTCCAGATTTTTAAAGAATTGGTATTGGTATCGGCCATAAAAAAAATAAAATAAATAAAAATAAAATAAAATCATATTGATTGATCAAGTTTTAGTGTCGATTGGTTTTTTGGGGATTGGTTTTTCTTACCTTCTCACGACCACAGAGTGAACGAATAAAACAACTGGAAAGTGTCTCTGAGTGTCCACAAAACTCATCTGTTATTATTAATATTATTATTATTATTATTATTTTTTTTTTTAATTTGTATTAATTTGTGGTGAGTTTCAGACGAGCTCAAGTTGAATTCTCACAAACACCACAACATGTTTTTATAAAATAATGACAGAACAGATGCACACGTGTGTTTTACTCAAACGCTTCACTCCTGTTTTTAGTTTTTAGTTTGAGTTTTTAGTTTGAGTTTTTAGTTTTTGTTTTGTGTTTTTAGTTTTTAGTTTGAGTTTTTAGTTTTGTGTTTTTAGTTTTTGTTTTGTGTTTTTAGTTTTTGTTTTTAGTTTTTTATTTTGTGTTTTTAGTTTTTGTTTTGTGTTTTTAGTTTTTAGTTTGAGTTTTGAGTTTTTCGTTTTGCCGTCGGGGCATCAGGTTTAAACTCACAAAGAGACTTCTGTAGAGAGACGACGTGTTCTCACAAAACACAAACCCAGAGACTCTGCTGTGGTTCATCTGAACTCCACCAGACGCACTAACACTCTCAAACACCGACTACAGACAGGAGGGAGGAGAAGAGAGAAGAGAGGAGAGAGAGAGAGAAGAGAGAGAGAGAGAGAGAAGAGAGAGAGAGAGAGAGAGAGAGAGAGAGAAGAGAGAAGAGAGAGAGAGAGAGAGAGAGAAGAGAGAGAAGAGAGAGAAGAGAGAGAGAGAGAAGAGAGGAGAGAGAGAGAGAAGAGAGAGAGAGAGAGAGAGAGAGAAGAGAAGAGAAGAGAGAGAGAGAGAGAGAAGAGAGAGAGAGAGAGAGAAGAAGAGAGAGAGAGAGAAGAGAGGAGAAGAGAGAGGAGAGAGAAGGGAGAAGAGAGAAGAGACGGGAGAGAGAGAGAGAGAGAGAGAGAGAGAGAGAGAGAGAGAGAGAGAGAGAGAGAAGAGAGGAGAGAGGAGAGAGAGAAGAGAAGAGAGGAGAGAGAGAGAGAGAAGAGAGAGAAGAGAGAAGAGAGAGGAGAAGAGAGAGGAAGAGAAGAGAGGGAGAGAAGAGAGAGAAGAGAAGAAGACAGGGAGGAAGAGAGAAGAGACGGGAAGAGAGAAGAGAGGGAGGAGAGAGGGAAGAGAGAGAAGAGAGAGGGAGGAGAGAGAAGAGAGAGGAGAGAAGAGAGAGGGAGAGAGAGAATAGAAGAGAGAGAAGAGAGAGGGAGGAGAGAGAAGAGAGAGGAGAGATGAGAGAGGGAGAGAAAAGAGAGAGAAGAGAGAAAAGAGAGAGAAGACAGAGAGAGAGAGAGAGAAGAGAAGAGAGGGAGAGAGAAGAGAGGGAGAAGAGAGAAGAGAGGGAGAAGAGAGGGAGAAGAGAGAAGAGACGGGAAGAGAGAAGAGAGAGAGAAAGAAGAGAGGGAGGAGAGAAGAGAGAGAGAAAGAAGAGAGGGAGGAGAGAAGAGAGAGAGAGAGAAGAGAGGGAGGAGAGAGAGAAAAAAGAGGGGGGTGAAAGAGGAGAGAGGGTTAGAAAAGAAGCAGGATGGAGAGAGAGAGAGACAGGAGCACGAGGAAAAAGAGGTGAAAGAGGAAAAACAGGAGAGAGGAGGAGAAAAAGAACAGGGTGAAGGAATAGAGAAGAGAAAGAGGAGAGGGAGACAGAGAGATGGAGAGAGACGAGGGAGAAAGAGAGAAATGGGGTGGGGAGAGGAGAGAGAGAAAGAGTGAGACGAGTAGAGAGGAGAGAGGAGAGAGAGAGAGAGAGAAAAACAAGGTGGGATGAAAGAAGAGGGAGAGAGAGAGGAAAAGAGGGAGGTGACAGAGGGGTGACAGGAGAGAGAGAGAGAGAGGAAGAGAAAGAGGTGAAAGAGGAGAGAGGGGGAGGGTGGAGAGAAAAGAGAGAGAGAGAAAGAGAAGGTAAAGGGTAAAGAGAGAGAGGAGGGGAGTTGAAAGAGAAAAAAGAGGGAGCAGGGTGAAAGGAGAGAGAGAGGAGTGAAAGAGAATAGGGAGAGAGAGAAAGAGAGAAAAGGAAGGTGGGATGAAGAGAGAGAGAGAGAGAGAGAGGAAGAGGGGGTGAAAGAGGAGAAGGAGAGGAGGGAGAGAGGAGTGAGGAGACAGAAGATGGAGAGAGACAAAGAGAGAGAAAAGAAGGAAGTGGCGGAAGTAAGTGAAGAAAGGTAGAAAGACAGAAAGGAGGGATAAAAGAAAAAAGAACGGAAGAGAGAGAAAGACAGAAAGAGAGAGATCAGGACAAAGACACAAACACCGAAAAAGAGAAAAACAGAGAAAGAACAGAAAAATAAAGAAAAGGAAAAAACAAACTGACTCCAAACAAACTTAAACTCAACGTCCTTTTAAAGAACCAATATTTACTCTTTCTGAATTCACTTTTTTCCGCGTTTTTTTGTTCAACCTTAAATCAGCGAAATCAAAACATGCGACAATTTAATTAAACCGAAAAAAAAAATTACAGGGATTTTGATTGAATTAAAAACATGCAGAATCATAAAGATCAACGTGGCTCCTGATTACGGAGAAATCTGTGAAAAATCAACGTTTGTTTTTGGTTTGGTTTTTTTCGGGAGGGGGCGGGGCTGATCACAGGAGCGTGCAGGGGGCGGGGGCGGGGGCAGGTGCGGGCGGGTGATACTTACGGGCAGGTTTCGCGCTGAGTCGAGGAAGACGATGAGCAGGGCGGAGGAGAGGCCGTCGTTGGCGTGGCCTCGGTGGGCCCGGATCCCCGTCAGGACCTGAGGACGATAGGGTTAAATTATTATTATTTTTAATTTATTTAACCTTTATTTAACCAGGAAAAAGTCTGATTGAGATTAAAAATGTCTTTTTCAAGAGCGTCCTGGCCAAGAGTTCACAAAACTGTTTCAAAACATATAAAAACAAACATACAAAACATTCAATAAAACAGAACAATCAACACAATTCAAAGATCATTAAAACAATTACACCCTGAGGAGTCCAGGTCTCTGTTTTTTAAAATCTGTTTAAAAGATTCTAAGGAGACCAGCTCCTTTAACTTCAGATCATTATGACAAAGGAGCATAAAACTGAAAAGCTTCTTGCCAAACTCAGACTTTACTCTGGGAACTGACAATAAAACCAAATCGTGTGATCGCAGACTGTTGGCCCCAGAACTTTTCTGAACTAAATGCTTCTGCAGATAAGACGGGAGCAGATCAAGAAAACATTTATAGACCAACAGGTACAAGTGTCTGAGCCTCCGTGTGGCTCAGGAAGTCCAGCCACACGTGCAGACAGAACACACAGGTGTGTGAACTCTGACCTGTGATGAACCTCAGAGCTCCAGGTGAAGTGTGTCCAGAGTCACAGACTCTGAGCAGAAACATTCATATAAACATCATCACCACAGACCAACAGCCACATCAGTGTGACGTCTACAAGCCTCTTCCAGCCTCACATGAAAGACAGGGACTAATCCTATAAAAGAAACCTAATTTCACTCTCAGTTTTTGAGTTAATTGCTGTAAGTGAAACGTGAATGAAAGTGAACTGTCGATCCAAAGACCAGATACTTGTACTTGTACTTGTACTTGTACTTGTACTTGTACTTGTACTTGTCCACTTTGTCAAATTGAGCACCTTGGAAAGTAGAGATTCGAGGAAGATCTGAGGGGAGTGTTTTGACATTTGAAAATAACATTGATTTAGTTGTAAAGCTGCACTGTGTAACTTTTCTGGTGATCACTTTGGGAACACAAAGCCAGGTTATGGGTCAGATCTGCGCAAAGGCAAGCCCAACCTCAAGTAAGAATGCAGAGTATTTTAGAGTATTTTAAGCCATAAAAACACCTGCAGTTGAATAAATATTTGTGTTTTTAAGTTTAATGCCACACTCTGGAACATTCCTGGCAAACCAAACCCGGGCAGTAGTGTCACCTCGACCAGAGATTTACCACCAAATAAAAACAAGGACACACGAAAACAGATGAAAAAACAATCATGGATCACATCATCAACACCAGCGAGAGTTTGGACTTGTACAAGTCAGTATTTATATGTACCAAACTCTGACACAACATGGATCTGCTGAGGAGAAGACGACAGAGACGCTGAATACAAAGATATTATCAGGATAGTTAATTTCATACGTGATAGTTTCAACTGCTCTTAGTTTGTTTATTTTCCCGTGTGTAGTAGTAGTAGTAGTAGTAGTAGTACTCCTAAACACTTGTCTTTGCCAGGTCATGTGACCTGGATGTCTTCTGTGTCGTTCACTTAGAAAAACTTTGGTTTACTTGGTTCTCGTTCAAACGCTCTGATTTCCGGCGTGAACATGAACATGAGTCGTTCAAGATCAGGTGCAGGAATTGGCACAGGCACGATTCTCTGTCGGCCTGAAAACATCTTGTGATGAACTTTCTAGAACAGACATGCCCAAACTACGGCACGGGGGCCAAATGAGGCCCTCAGACAAATTTTTCTTGGCCCTCAGTCTTCCAGGTGAATTGGGCCCAAATGACCATGAATCAATTAAAAAACAATAATTTTTTACTGCAAGTTTTTTGAAAATCTACCTTGATAAAGCAAATATTTCATATTTAGTGTTGTGATTTTAAGGATCGTAGCATGAATAAAAACTGATGGTTCATTCTAACATGTTAAACCTGCACATATTTAAATTATTCACTGTACTGAGCATCAGTTTACAGTCTCCATCAGTCTCTGCTTCATCTGTGTTTAGAAATGTGGCCCTTGATGAAAAATTTGGACACCCCAGCCCTAAAAGATATAAAGTGTTAAAAATGGAAAAAAAAAACCCCCAACTTGGTGCATCTTTACCATGTTACACCAAAAAAATGAAACACTCATCAACATAAAATGGACAGTTTTAGAAAATCTAAAATGTGTGATGAGGTTCAGTCTTATTTTTGCAAAATGAATTTTTGAAAAAGTGGTGAAGACACTTTCAGAAGCTCACTAAATATTTTTAATGACAAAACTATAAGGAGTTAGGAGCTAAAATTTGTGATTTTCCTGTTGGAAAGAGTCTGAACCTCGAGAAGTTTTTCAGTCAAATCAGAGATGGTCGAGCGAGGACAGTCGGAGATTTGGCCTGGAACGACCCGGTATGAAACTCTTCTCTGCAGAGGCTGAAATAAACGACGTCTTCGTCAACATTTCCATCAGGATGTTTTTTAAATAGAAAAGTCCTGCAGATCCAGAGTCTTTACTGCTGCACTGCTGAAGTGTGAACTGTGTGTCACAATAACACGACACGATGCACCGACAAAAGATCTGTGTTGTTTACAGTGTTGGGAAGTTTACTTTTAAAATGTAATCCCCTACAGATTACAGATTACACACACCAAAATGTAGTTTGTAACATAATCCATTAAATTACTTAAAGTGAGTAATGTAATCTGAATACTTTGGATTATTTGATTTGTCTTGATAGTCTGAACATAAGAAGTTTTATCTGATAAAAGAAAATAAAAAGTCCAGACTTTACTGAACCAAATTAAAAATATTATTGATAGAAAATGAAGAAACACGTCCACACAGCAGGATTTAGTCCTGGTTTAGACCTGGTTTAGTCCTGGTTCAGACCTGTTTTTAGACCCGTTTTAGACCCGTTTTTAGACCTGTTTTTAGACCTGTTTTAGTCCTGGTTTTAGCCCTGTTTTAGCTGTTTTAGACCTGTTTAATCCTTTTAGACCTGTTTTTAGACCTGTTTTATCCTGGTTTAGACCTGTTTTTAGACCCATTTTAGACCTGTTTTAGACCTGTTTTTAGACCTGTTTTTAGACCTGTTTTTAGACCTGGTTTAGACCTGGTTTAGACCTGTTTTTAGACCCGTTTTAGACCTGTTTTAGACCTGTTTTTAGACCTGTTTTTTAGACCTGTTTTTAGACCTGTTTTAGACCTGTTTTAGACCTGTTTTAGACCTGTTTTAGACCTGTTTTTAGACCTGTTTTAGTCCTGGTTTAGACCTTTTTAGACCTGGTTTAGTCCTGGTTTAGTCCTGTTTTTTAGACCTGTTTTTAGACCTGTTTTAGTCCTGATTTAGACCCATTTTAGACCTGTTTTTAGACCTTTTTAGACCTGTTTTTAGACCTTGTTTAGACCTGTTTTTGACCTGTTTTAGACCTGTTTTAGACCTGTTTTTAGACCTGTTTTAGTCCTGGTTTAGACCTGTTTTTAGACCAGTTTTAGACCTGTTTTTAGACCTGTTTTTAGACCTGTTTTTAGACCTGTTTTTAGACCTGGTTTAGACCTGGTTTAGACCTGTTTTTAGACCCATTTTAGACCTGTTTTAGACCTGTTTTTAGACCTGTTTTAGACCTGTTTTAGACCTGTTTTAGACCCATTTTAGACCTGTTTTAGACCTGTTTTTAGACCTGTTTCTAGACCTGTTTTTAGACCTGTTTTAGTCCTGGTTTAGACCTGGTTTAGACCTGGTTTAGTCCTGGTTTAGTCCTGGTTTTAGACCTGTTTTTAGACCTGTTTTAGTCCTGATTTAGACCCATTTTAGACCTGTTTTTTAGACCTGTTTTAGACCTGTTTTTAGACCTGTTTTAGACCTGTTTTTAGACCTGTTTTAGTCCTGGTTTTAGACCTGTTTTAGACCTGTTTTTAGACCTGTTTTAGACCTGTTTTTAGACCTGTTTTTAGACCTGTTTTAGACCTGTTTTAGACCTGTTTTTAGACCTGGTTTAGTCCTGCTTTTAGACCTGTTTTTAGACCTGTTTTAGTCCTGGTTTAGACCTGGTTTAGATCTTGTTTAGGAAGGGGGATATAGCTCCAAATGTGAAAACAGGAAAATCCCTCTGTGTAATCCATTTATTTCAACAAAGTAACTGTAATCCAATTACCACTCACTGAAACAGTAACTGTAACTGAATACAGTTACTCATCATTTGTAAAACTGTGATAAAACTTGTTCATATTTTTAATGCATTATTTTCAAAAAAGAGAAAAAGAGACAGAGAAAAATCAGGAATAATTATATAAATGTAAATGTACAAGTCAAAATTAAATAGAAAAATAAGTCATAAAAAAAAAAGTTTTGGTTCTGACCTGGTTGAGTTTTTCTGGCGTGGGGAGCAGACTGAGCCACTCCAGCTTCAGGTGGATCTTCCCCTGACCCACGTCGTCCAGAACGAACCACTGAACACGAAAAACAGAACGGAACGATCAACCGAACGGGTCCAGTTTATCAAAATATTTAAGGTTTAACGCTCCAGTCAGGCTCAGAGGTCAGAGGTCCAATTTTAATCATTCAAAGCAGCAATAAAAACAACGAGAAGTGCTCAGATCAAGTGTACATTTTTCAGAACTTCAAAAATCGGACTCTGAGGACGACTGGAGCAGATTAAAAAAAAGTAAAAACACGTCACCTCGTCCACTTTCTGTTCCTTCTCCAGTTCGTCCAAATCGATCATCAAACTGATAAAAAAATAAAAAGAATATAACACAAATGGAGCTTTACTCCTCAAAATATTTCTACATTTATCTCGATATGGAGTAAAACTGCAAACGATTGTTTAAATAAAAACAGATTTTTTATGAATTATGATGTTTGTAGTTTGTTTGTAGTTTGTTTGTAGTTTGTTTGTATGTAGTTTGTTTGTAGTTTGTTTGTAGTTTGTAGTTGTAGTTTGTTTGTAGTTTGTTTGTAGTTTGTAGTTTGTTTGTAGTTTGTTTGTAGTTTAGTTTGTAGTTTGTAGTTTGTTTAGTTTGTTTGTAGTTTGTAGTTTGTTTGTATTTGTTTGTAGTTTGTAGTTTGTTTGTAGTTTGTTTGTAGTTTGTAGTTTGTAGTTTGTTTTAGTTTGTAGTTTGTTTGTAGTTTGTTTGTAGTTGTAGTTTGTAGTTTGTTTGTAGTTTGTTTGTAGTTTGTTTGTAGTTTGTTTGTAGTTTGTAGTTTGTTTGTAGTTTGTTTGTAGTTTGTTTGTAGTTTGTTTGTAGTTTGTAGTTTGTAGTTTGTAGTTTGTAGTTTGTTTGTTAGTTTGTTGTAGTTTGTTTGTAGTTTGTTTTGTAGTTTTGTTTGTAGTTTGTTTGTAGTTTGTTTGTAGTTTGTTTGTAGTTTGTTGTAGTTTTGTTTAGTGTTTGTAGTTTTAGTTTGTTTGTAGTTTGTTTGTTTGTAGTTTGTTTGTAGTTGTTTAGTTTGTAGTTTGTTTGTAGTTTGTTTTGTTTGTAGTTTGTTTTGTAGTTTGTAGTTTGTAGTTTGTTTGTAGTTTGTTTGTAGTTTGTTTGTAGTAGTTTGTTTGTAGTTTGTTTGTAGTTTGTTTGTAGTCTGCGTTACCTTCCCAAGAAGTCGTCTTTATCTGTGTCCTCGTCGAACAGCTCCAGCTTCAGATTCTTCACCGTCGAGTTATCATAAATCAGAGCCTGAAAATCACAATAAACAAGGATTAAACCAGGACTAAACCAGGACTGAACCAGGACTAAACCAGGTCTAAACCAGGACTAAACCAGGATTAAACCAGGACTAAACCAGGACTAAACAGGACTAAAAACCAGGACTAAACCAGGACTAAACCAGGACTAAACCAGGGTCTAAACCAGGACTAAAACCAGAACCAGGACTAAACCAGGACTAAACCAGGTCTAAACCAGGACTAAACCAGGACTAACCAGGACTAAACCAGGTCTAAACCAGGTTTAAACCAGGACTGAACCAGGACTAAACCAGGACTAAACCAGGACTAAACCAGGACTGAACCAGGACTAAACCAGGTCTAAACCAGGAATCAGGACTAAACCAGGACTACCAGGTCTAAACCAGGAAAACAGGATTAAACCAGGACTAAACCAGGACTAAACCAGGACTAAACCAGGATAAACAGGACTAAACCAGGACTAAACCAGGTCTAAACCAGGACTAAACAGCACTAAACCAGGACTGAACAGGGCTAAACCAGGACTAAACCACTAAACCAGGACTAAACCAGGAGGTCTAAACAAACCAAACTAAACCAGGACTAAACCAGGCACTAAACCAGCACTAAACCAGGGACTAAACCAGATTAAACAGGGACTAAAACCAGACTGAACCAGGTAAACCAGGAACTAAACCAGGACTAAACCAGGTCTAAACCAGGTTTAAACCAGGACTGAACCAGACTGAACCAGGACTAAACCAGGACTAAACCAGGACTAAACCAGGACTGAACCAGGACTAAACCAGGACTAAACCAGGACTAGACCAGGTCTAAACCAGGACTGGACCAAGACTGAACCAGGACTAAACCAGGACTGGACCAGGACTGAACCAGGTCTAAACCAGGACTAAACCAGGACTGGACCAAGACTGAACCAGGACTAAACCAGGACTAAACCAGGACTGGACCAGGACTGAACCAGGACTAAACCAGGACTAAACCAGGACTAAACCAGGACTGAACCAGGACTGAACCAGGACTAAACTAAGCCTGGACCAGGACTAGACCAAAGTTAGACCAGGATTAAACCAGGACTGAAACCAGGATGGAACCAGGACTAAACCAGGTCCAAACCAGGTCCAAACCAGAGCTAAACCTGGACTGGACCAGGACTAGACCTGGGTTAGACCAGGACTAAACCAGGACTAAAGTATGACTAAACCAAGACAGAACCAGGACTAAACCAGGACTGAACCAGAGCTAAACCTGGATTGGACCAGGACTAGACAAGAACTAACTCAAGACTAAAGCAGGGACAAAACCTGGGATAAAAGCAGGACTAGACCAGGACTGAATCAGACGTGGTACCTCGTAGACTTCGTTCCACTTGGGGTTGACGGTGTCGTGGATGACTTTGCTCTGGAACAGTTGGGTCCCGATCTGGATCACTCCGTACGGGTCGGACTTTCCTTTGATCAAACCTCCTAAAAACCTGTCTTTGCCCAAAAGATCCTGAGCCTCCAGGAAGTGGATCCTCAACACGCCCTGAGCAGAAGAAGAAGAAGAAGAGTCTGAAACACTGGAAAAGACCAGGACTGAACCAGGACTAAACCAGGACTGAACCAGGACTGAACCAGGACTGAACCAGGACTGAACCAGGACTGAACTAGAGCATTGAAACCAAAGTCCAACGGGACCCGACAGGACCTGCTGGAACTCGTCGGACCCTGATGGGCTCAGCCGGACTCGGACTCATCAGGGAGATAAAACATTTGAAATGTAAAATTAAAAACTGTTTAAGACCATAGAATGTTTTTCAAAATTATCAGGTTATAAAGTTAACTGGTCAAAATCTGAAGCCCTACCGTTAACTTCATACTGTCCGAAAGAACCTATTTCAGCAGGCTCATTCCAATGGGCCAACAGAAGGCATAAAATACTTGGGAATTCTATCCCTCAAAATATTAATAAAATAATTGAAAAAAATATTGAACCAGTATTAAAAAAAATTAGTTTAGACACACAAAGATGGTCATCACTAACCCTATCTCTGTGGGGTAAAGTCAATGTTTTAAAGATGAACTGTGTACCAAAATTAAATTATCTATTACAATATTTACCAATCACTATACCCAAAAATATTTTGATAAATTGACCATATTTGTAAGCAGTTTTTTTTTGGAATGGGAAACGTCCCAGAATAAAAACTGACTAAAATGCAAATGCCAGTAAAGAAAGGAGGCTTGGGCCTCCCTAAACTAATTCTTTATCATTATGCCTTCTGTCTGAGACACATTGCTCAATGGGCATTGCCACCTGAACGAGCCCCTCCATGGATGGGAATAGAGTCTAAATTGTTCTCTCCACTCAGTCCAATAGATGCTCTAGCAATTAAAAAGACCCCTCAGATTAAGTCCCATCCCATTATAGCAAATCTCCTTAATGTATGGAAAAAGATTTCTCATATATTTAATTTAAATGTACATCTTAATACCGAATCTTGTATTTGGAACAATCCAAAGCTTTTAATAGATAAACAGGTTTTGTGTGGAAGGATTGGCTCACCAGGGGAATTGTTAAACTTGCAGATTTTGTATGAGGGAGATACATTGAAATCATTTGAAAAATTGACACTTGAATATAATTTGCCAAAAAATTATTTATGGAAGTATCTGCAACTTCAAAGTCTACTTAACACAGTTATTGGAAATCACTCTCCCCCTCAACAGTCAACTCTTCTATCACAAATAATTAAAAAATGGGACTGGGACATGAGGCATCTTTTTATTACAGTCATATTTTTTCAACATAAGCATCCGATGCTTTACACGTTAAAAACAATCTGGTCTTCAGATCTTAATATTAATCTGACAGACGAAGACTGGAATAAAATATGTGAAAACACAAATAAACTGTCTAGAGATGTGAAAATCAAGTTAAATTAATTTTAAATCCTGAATCGCTTCTATTGGACTCCATCACGGTTATTTAGACTCAAGCTTAAAGACTCAGAAACTGCTGGAAATGCCAAGCCAAGGAACTCTGAAGCACCTCCTCTGGGAATGTCCTCTGATACAAAACTATTGGAGGAAGATTCATGGGTGCATAAAAAATATCACTCAAAACACTTTTGAATTCACCCCTCAGCTTTATATTTTGAGTGATCCAAAAATGACTACTAGATGTCCATCATCAGAATTTATTCAAACTAGTATTATGATTGGAAAACAAATAATAATGAGACATTGGAAAGACCCAGAGGAGCCAGTGTTTCATGAGTGGTTCACAGAACTGGCTAAAGTAGCCTCTTACGAACAGATGTCATTTAATATGTCAGATCGAATTGTAGCCTACAAAAACAAATGGAAAGCATATTTGAATTATGTTAACTGTGACAATGGTGGAGAAAATTAAATTGTATGAAGTGAGGAGTAATTGTAATGCACAATGTAAAGGATTTCAGTGGTTTTCTGTTTAGGGAAATAAAAATAAAACTACTGAAATCCTGAAAATGTGTACTCTGTACAAATGTATATTCTAAAATTTGTAACGCGACTGCTTCCCCCTTTTTTTTTTTTTTTTTTTTTTTTTTTTTTTTTTTTTTTTTTGAGTTTGTGTGGGGGGGGGAAAAACAAAACAGAACATGTATATTATGATGTATATGGACAAAAAATCACTGAATAAATTACAAATTATAAAAAAAAAAAAAAAAAAAAAAACTGTTTAAGACCGACACACAGGATTTTTTCGTGTTCGGGTCAGATTCAGTCCCTGTTCTGTGGGACGAGGTTCAGTTCAGCAGGTCTGGTCAGGTTAGGTCTGGTCTGGTTTGGTCTGGTCTGGACTGGTCAGGACTGGTCAGGTCAGGTTGGTCAGGTCTGGTTTGGTCTGGTTTGGTCTGGTTTGGTCTGGTTTGGTCTGGTCTGGTCTCTGGTCAGGTCTGGTCAGGTCTGGTCAGGTCTGGTCTGGATTGGTCTGGAGTGGTCTGGTCAGGTCTGGTCAGGACTGGTCTGGTCTGGTCTGGTCAGGTCTGGTCTGGAGTGGTCTGGTCTGGTCAGGTCTGGACTGGACTGGTCTGGTCTGGTCAGGTCAGGTCTGGATTGGTCTGGTCAGGTCTGGTCTGGAGTGGTCTGGTCAGGTCTGGACTGGACTGGTCTGGTCTGGTCAGGTCAGGTCTGGTCTGGTCTGGTCTGGACTGGTCAGGTCTGGTCTGGTCTGGTTTGGTCTTGTCTGGTCAGGTCTGGTCTGGACTGGTCAGGTCTGGTCTGGAGTGGTCTGGTCAGGTCTGGACTGGTCTGGTTTGGTCTGGTCCGGTTTGGTCTGGTTTGGTCTGGTCTAGTTTGGTCTGGTTTGGTCTGGTTTGGTCTAGTTTGGTCTGGTCTGGACTGGTCTGGTTTGGTCTAGTTTGGTCTGGTCTGGACTGGTTTGGTCTTGTCTGGTCAGGTCTGGTCTGGACTGGTCTGGTCAGGTCTGGTCTGGAGTGGTCTGGTCAGGTCTGGTCTAGTTTGGTCCGGTTTGGTCTGGTCTAGTTTGGTCTGGTCTGGACTGGTCTGGTTTGGTCTGGTCTAGTTTGGTTCTGGTCTGGACTGGTCTGGTTTGGTCTGGTCAGGTTTGGTCTGGTCTAGTTTGGTCCGGTCAGGTTTGGTCCGGTCAGGTTTGGTCCAGTTTGGTTTGGTCAGGTTTGGTCCGGTCAGGTTTGGTCCGGTCAGGTTTGGTCCAGGTTTGGTCTGGTCAGGTTTGGTCTGGTCAGGTTTGGTCTGGTCTAGTTTGGTCCGGTCTGGTCTGGTCTGGTCTGGTTTGGTCTGGTCTGGTCTTACCTTGGGCACGGGGAAGCGCAGTTGGGAGAGTTGGGCGTCTCCCACCAGAGGAATAGTGATTTTATTTGGAAGAACCAAATACTGACAGAGGATGTCCTGGATCAAGCCGTCACTCAGACCACTGAAAAACACACAACCACTTTACTACAACATACTGCAGTACTACAACATACTGCAGTACTACATACAGTACTACTACTGCAGTACTACTACATACTGCAGTACTACTACACACTGAAAAACACACAACGACTTTACTACAACATACTGCAGTACTACAACATACTGCAGTACTACTACACACTGAAAAACACACAACGACTTTACTACAACATACTGCAGTACTACAACATACTGCAGTACTACTACACACTCAAGTACTACAACAACTTTACTACAACATACTGCAGTACTACTACACACTCAAGTACTACAACAACTTTACTACAACATACTGCAGTACTACTACACACTGTACTACAACATACTGAAGTACTACAACACACTGTAGTACTACAACAGACTGCAGTACTACAGTGTACTGACAGTACTACGAAGGACTGTAGTACTACAGTGTACTCACAGTACTATGAAGGACTGTAGTACTACAGTGTACTGACAGTACTACGAAGGACTGTAGTACTACAGTGTACTCACAGTACTATGAAGGACTGTAGTACTACAGTGTACTCACAGTATTATGAAGGATTGTAGTACTACAGTGTACTCACAGTACTATGAAGGACTGTAGTACTACAGTGTACTCACAGTACTATGAAGGACTGTAGTACTACAGTGTACTCACAGTACTACGAAGGACTGTAGTACTACAGTGTACTCACAGTACTATGAAGGACTGTAGTACTACAGTGTACTCACAGTATTATAATAAACTTTTATAGTTCATTTTAAGAAAAACAGCTGGACTTAAAGCTGCAGTGTGTAACTTTGTGATCTGGCGTCTGTCACCTGTTTGGTTCTTTGTCTCTGTTGTGTCTGGAATGTTCCACAGTGTGACTTTACACAGCTCCACTTTACATTTATTCAGTTAAAGATGGAGCAAGAACTGGACCTGACCTGGAACTTGGTCCGGTTTAGTCTTCATGAAGATAGAAAAGGTTTAAAGCCACACTGTGGAACATTCCAGACAAAGCAACATCTCCATGGAGAAAAACACATTTGACAGAACCTCCACCAGAAAAGTTACACAAAATAAAATCAATAAATTCTGGTTGATTAAAAAAAAACTCAAAAAGCCACGTGAAGTTCAGACGAGTGGCCTGTAGGTGTCAGTCTAACCCCACAACAACTAACCCTAACTAAACCAGGACTAAACCAGGACTAAACCAGGACTAAACCAGGACTGAACCAGGACTGAACCAGGACTAAACCAGGTCTAAACCAGGACTAAACCAGAACTAAACCAGAACTAAACCAGGACTGAACCAGGAACTGAACCAGGACTAAACCAGGACTGAACCAGGACTAAACCAGGACTGAACCAGGACTAAACCAGGACTAAACCAGGACTAAACCAGGACTAAACCAGGACTGAAACCAGGACAAACAGAGATATGAACCAGGTCTGGATCGGGACATGGAGGTTGTTGCTTTGTCAGAATTCAATTAGATTTAATAACGTTATAATGACTTAATTAAGTTTCATCATTAAAATACAATCACAAATATTCAGACTATGAGACACTGACATGTTTCACTTATCACACTTGAGTGAGTGTGTGTGTGCGTGGGTGTGTTTTGTGTGTAATAAAGTGTGTGTAAGAGAATAAAATCACGTGCTTCACATTAAACAGAGTTTCTCTGAGCGTACACTAAACTCTAAACTCTAAACTCTAAACACTAAACTCTAAACTCTAAACTCTAAACTCTAAACTCTAAACTCTAAACTCTAAACTCTAAACACTAAACACTAAACACTAAAACTAAACTCTAAACTCTAAACTCTAAACTCTAAACTCTAAACTCTAAACTCTAAACACTAAACACTAAACTCTAAACTCTAAACTCTAAACACTAAACACTAAACACTAAACACTAAACTCTAAACTCTAAACTCTAAACTCTAAACTCTAAACACTAAACTCTAAACTCTAAACTCTAAACTCTAAACTCTAAACACTAAACACTAAACTCTAAACTCTAAACTCTAAACACTAAACACTAAACACTAAACTCTAAACTCTAAACACTAAACACTAAACACTAAACTCTAAACTCTAAACTCTAAACTCTAAACTCTAAACACTAAACACTAAACACTAAACACTAAACTCTAAACTCTAAACACTAAACTCTAAACACTAAACTCTAAACTCTAAACACTAAACTAAACTCTAAACTAAACACTAAACACTAAACTCTAAACTCTAAACACTAAAACACTAAA